TAGCAGTGTTTTATATCGAAAATCAACTTTATTTCTGATGTTGCAAGTAAACGAGAACTTTGAAATGAAAAATGATGCATTTTTGTTTGTTCCGTATTTTGTTCAAATTTCCACGGGTTAATGTTCCTTCGTGTAGTATGACCGCCATAAAAATTCTGCTGGTGTTGAAAAGCAGCTTTATTATAATTTGTATCATTGTTGTCCTAATTTTCTCATTGTAAAAGTGTCTGAGTGTGTAGGGTTTACTAACTTCTAATCTCTGAGGTTCAATGTGATTCCATATTTATCTCATGTCAGCATTTGAAATCTCATTTGCCGAATTTGTATTTCCTGTATAGTATGTTGTGCATTATTGCATTATGATCTCTGTGGTAGAAAGAATTCTGTTTTCTCTTGCTTTAATATTTTCAAGAAAATGGAAAATGTGATAGGAAAAAAGTGTTAAAGATTGTATATTCCCTTGTGCAGGTTTCATATATTCTGGTATCTGTTGTGTATTGGTGATTTCATCCCCTTCCTTTCCTGCAATATTATAAATTGTGTTAAATAGTTGTGTCGTTTTCTGTAACTTTCAAAAAATTTTTTCGATATGTACTCCATAAAAGCACTTATAAAATAATAATTTAAAAAACGGATAAATACATTTTAATGAATAACTCTAGATTATGGTTCCATTAATTTTGTACCAATCTGTAAGTTAGTTTGAATGATCCCGTCTGACCATTGTAAATAATCAACACTCGATTTGTTTCGCTTATTATTGGTCTATCTGAAGTATGCACTGAAGCCATTTAAAAACTGAAAATGAGAAACTCCCAGAGATTTTGCAAACTTTCTCTGATTTTATATCTTAACAGCAGTAAACATCAGTGCACAATTTAGACGTCACACGTTTGGATTTTGATATATAATCGTATAACTATTTTACCTGGCCCGTGGTAACAGAATCTTGCTCCTGAAATACCAAAGTCTTTCCTGTATTTAATCTCGAGATATTCAAGAGAACAAGTAGGTTGTTCATTAACAGTCATTTTCAATTTTTTGATCATTATTTCCAGTTTTTTCGCGTTTTGCGACTAAAATTGATAAGATATATCAGCCGTCGAGGTATTATATAATTATAATTCTTGTCAGAGCGGAAATCTATTTGTTTGAGTGAGAAAGAGGAAAGAGATGAAAGGGTATAGTTTGTTAGTATACTGTGCTAAATTATTCTGAACATGTCTGATCGCAATGACAAGAAAGTTTATCTACAGTAACAAATAGAATATTGATGGAAGGATTTTAATTCGGGAAGGTTTTCTCAAAATTGAAAAGTTATTGTTGTATGCATAGAAGAGTCAAGCGGTGAATTGAGAAGAGATTGTTTGAGATATGTCAAGTATTTAGCACAATAATTAACACTTACTGTATATTACGCTGTGCAGTTGAATTTATTTCACTCTACCTTAATAATCCAAGTACATCTTGCCGTACCATTCCATATAAGGTCTTTCCAGTGTTTTGTTGCGTAAAGCATAGATGAAGAACAATTCCAATTATTACGCAAACGCTCACATTTGATGCCCGTGAAACCAGTCGGACATATGCACTGGTTACAATGAATTGGACTGATATAACCACCATTACTACAATTTGACGCATCAAAAATTGCCTTTTTACACCGATCTGAAATAATTTTATGCAAAAATTTGACAAATAAATACAATCTTGTTTACTGTTTTCAAAAATGGCATCAGAATACGATGGTTACGTGTTATTCGGATTTTTAATTGTCATATCATAATTGGCTTCCATATCGTATAATGTTTTTAAGATGTTCAAATTTTCTTGCTTACAGTGATCAAGCTTGACTAGCTAATCACTTGTTTACTGTAATTAGTAGTTATAGAAGTGTACAGGGATTATCATATCATAAAAGGTCATTATAAACAGTTCTATTATAGAAAAGTGATGATACAATTATATTTGTAAACAATATATTTGTATGAGTCAAACTTTAATTGAGTATATGCTATATATCTTAAATTTTATCGAAACTAGTGGATAATATCGTGTCACATTAAGAATGTTTTGTTGAAAAAAGAAATATGATGAATGATAAGGCTTTGCATACTTCCACAGTAGGCACGATTAATCAAAGCAGCGTCATAAAATGAAATTTGATCACGTTGACCTATGGTTTGCGCATAATTTGTATCTATAGGTAATATTGTACTTTGTCCATTTTTAGAAAAAGCCTAGAAAACTTCAAAAAATAAATGATATCAGATTATTAGATAGATTTTGTTCACATCAAAAATAATAGAGAGCTGAGAACATAAAAAGTTAAAAAGCTTGTAATTTGTTGGGAAGGTCCTCCATAAAATGTGACCTCAGTGGAATAATGCATAATAGACCCATAATCATAAGGTACGCCATAATCAGTTAGCCAGTATTTAATTCTAAAATCACCAAGTCTTTCAGGTGGTATCAATTCATAATGGATTTTGATATATCTGTCACGATCCATACGATTGTGTTCATGCCAAAGACCGAGGGCATGACCTGAAAAATTTATTTACAGTGATCAAGCTTGACTAGTAATCACTTGTTTACTTATGATAAGCATAAGTCTAAAATAATTTACATTGACAGTTTAATTGTTTAATAAAATTGACTCGGCAATTTCAGAAGTACATAATTTATTGAAAGAAAGCATTGAAAAATTTGTACCTCAAAACATTAATGAAATTTAAATTTATATTTTTTTCAAAGAAATATTCAATATTAGTGGATAAAAACTTGTTTCAAAGCAATAAATAAAAAATGTAAAGTTTTTATTAGTCTTAAAAATCACATAAAATTCGCAAGTCGCTATATTTCTATCTCGATCAATTTTAAAAATGACTTAAGGTTAAAATTTTTAGACTGTTAAGCTGAAAAGTAATTACTATTAGATTTGATATACTTAGCAATGTCGACAATTAACTTTGTTTTGAGTAATTAAGCAATTATCACCGATTTCATGCAAAAGCACACCATATGTCGCACAGTTTGGTGATAACGATATAGAACGACTTTCAGCACTTGCATAACCAATATTCGAATAACATCTTGACAATTATCGCATCAAAACAATGATGTTAATTTTGACAATTATTAGTATGGTTATGTCAAAATAAAGCACTTAATAATTTTTGGAGCAATTGATAAAAATGTTTACATTTATCATACTATCAAAAATATAACTTTTATCATTATAATTTGGAATAATTTTGAAAAATGTTTCAAAACATTGAAGGTATGTTAAAATAAAATATATTCTCTCAATAATAATAATGATAATAATAGCAATAATAGTAATAATAATATTATTATTATTATCAATTTTATCAATAATTTAATCGATTAATGTTTATTTTTTATCTCTAACAGATCAGACCATAATTACTTTTCAGCTTACTCGTTATTAGCAATAAAATATAAAATATTTTTATTGTTAAAATCTGCTAGCTGTTGTTGCTCATTGGTGACTTCTATGAAAGTTACACAAGTAACTTTTTCCCAAGTAGATAAGCCTTGTTCAACCAATTTTCTATCAACTGAAATTAATTCTTATGCAATCCATCAGAAGCAAGTGTTTTTTTTATTTCCGAAAAAATAATATCTGATTAGTTTTACCTTGTTCAGCGATATGATAATGGACAGGTAAAGACCAAAGACGTTCACGATTTGAAACAATCTTACGTTGTTCACGTATTATTTTTTGTTGAGCAAATACCAGTAAGTGAAATATTTGAATAAGATGGAAATAAATAAACGCTAACATTCAAAAATAAATAAAAATTGCTACAATAATTTTTGATAGTTGTGGTTGTAATCAAAAAATAGCAAGTAAAAATGATTACAAAGATTTATTTATCTGAATGAATAAGTAGCAGCACATAACTGCTTACTACATCTACTTTATCAGATAATTATGTGATATTTGGACCGGTTTTAATGATGAACACTTTTGTCTAAACCACGCAATACTGAATGATTTGATCTATTTTGAGTAATTAGATCTGATCTATTTTGGGTAATTACCATATTTGTGAATACTTTTCACGATCAAAATAACCAGTTGATTAACTTATTACAATGATCTTAGTTCTGTACTCGCAATAAATAAAAACATAAAAATCAAAAAACCAATTTTATAAAAGAAATTAAAAATGAGTAAGCATATTTAATTTCTTTTGTTACTTTTAGCTTTATGGACATTGTTAAACTGTAGTGAATGCTTTAATTTTAGGAAAGTTTTTCAAAAAAAATAAATTATTATACTTTTGAGCAAACTATCTATAACTGCATTTATCAAGTAAGGTACAAAATGGAATTAATTAATACAAAACAAAATAAATTCTCATTAATATAAAAGTATGAAATAAAACAATTAAATTTTAATACTGGCATTAATTGTTAATTTTCATTAGCATTTCAAATATAAATAAATACAAGTATTGTACATCAATGAACTTTGCAATAATTGTTCAAATTTTTTTACAAAAATGCTTAAAAATGTGCTATTAAAGTCACAAATCAAAAATTAATTATTTATCAGTTTTTCGAATTTATTGAATTAATTAAGCAGTTGTGAATTCGAGTAAAAATTTGTAATAATTTGTATTAAACACATTGTTATAAATAAATAAGTAATAAAATTTGAACGGAAAATAGATAATTAATTAGCATTTTGTAATGAATGAATTCAGTAAATACGAAATTAATCATTCATTTAGTTGTTTTTTGCTTTTGATACTTTTAATTACTAATCAAATTGTGTTAAAAATTTGAAAATAGCATTGAAAAACTAAAAATTCAATTTATTTAAATGAGTTAATTCCTTCTGAGAAGTCAATTTTCATTCTAATTGCTTATTTTGTTTCAATTAAACAAATGCTTAAAATTTCAAAACTTTTTAAAAAAGTTTTAAAATTAATTTTAAAATGGAATTTTGTAAGTATGAAAGTTTTATCTAAATATTTACTTAAAAAAATTGTATTCTTTGGTTATTGACAAATTATTATCATTAAGTGATGCAATTTTATTACAAAAATTGTACTCAAAATGTTTGAAATTGTAAGCATTAATGTTTTTGAACCAATAACTTCCATAAAAATTGTTAATATATGCAAAAAAAAAAAAGATACAAAATTGTAAAAGTAATAAAATTTCATTACTTATTTAAAAGCTTATTAATTATTGATTTAAATACTTAATAATAGCAATTACATAGTAGAATGATTGTTATGTTTGTTAAAAAGCTTTCAGAGCAGAAAAAAGAGTGATAAAACTGAGCAATATTCAGAGCTGCACATTGTAATGGACCAACACACCCTTTAGCCTTCTCAGGCAAACAGCCAATGCCTTTTTGGCCTTATCACAAACGATCAGTTGTTATCAGTTATTATCAGTTGTTCTTCAATAAATTAGTTTTTCAGCTAATTCTCACTCTCTTTCCACACAATTGCATATATTGTGTATGCATTTGCCTTTTCTATTATTTTGTAAACTTTCTATAAAAACTTTTTCCCAATCATTTTCTCACATTTCTAAGCATTAATTCTTTTCAAAAGTTTATTTAATTAAATTTTTTTAGTCAAATATTTGTGCACTTTTTTCTCTAAATGTATTTATATGTGTATATATTGCAGTACAGCATTTGTATTATATAAAGCATTTAGATTTTTAATTAAAAATTTGACCTTTTAAAGCAAGAATTATAAGGTAGTGACATGTGCAGTAGTAAGTCTTTTTATAAATAAATAAATAAATAAGTAAGTAAATAACTTTTATTGAATTTATTTGTGCATGTTCTTCAAAGATTTTATCATTTATTTGAGTAAAAAATAAAAGTAAAATATTATGCAAAAATTTATACACCAAATTTATTTAAAATTTTCTATCCATTTTTTGTATATTTTAATTTTACTTGTATTGTCAGCTAGCACAAATTTTTCAAGCTTGAAACATGCAAAATTATATTTATATTGATAATAAATAGATAACTCTCTGGCATTTATTTTTTGAGTGCAAATAAATGATAATTATCCATGCATTAAAAATGTATTCATGTGATTATTCGAGTACGCTTCGAAATTCATCCATTTAATTGCAAATCATGATTATGTCAAATACTCTGATTAGCATATTTTGTTAATAAAATAAAATAATAATATATCATTGTAATTATTGTGCAACAGTATTTAATTTAAGACAATTATTCTAGTTTTAAAATGTGAATACTTGTAATTACTAAAAAACTTATAAAATAAGTCATAAATTTAAAATTAAATTATTTTATAGAAATTCGATTAATGGAAGTGATCATTGCAGTGGTTCAAATACAAAATAAAAAGCATACTAAAATTAGCAGTGATGGATTTAAGGTATTTCTTGTCAACGAGCCATGCTCTTCATCGAGACATGAAGTAAGAATGCAACTCCCGCAATGTACCGGAATTTTCAATAATAATCCAGCAGAAATCGCTTTAAGTTTTGTTCAGAGCCATTGCAGGTTGTTATGAACTGAAATAAAAAATATTATTTCATGCTATTTAATTTATAATTATTTCATTTTACAATTATTTAATTACAGTTTTGAGTCTTAGGGCAAATTGATGATCACAGGTTGTGAATTGAATTTTCCTTGTAAATGCATTCAATTAGTTGTAATT